TACAAATGCAACCACAGAGATAATGTAGTGCCATTAAGGTAAACTACTGAAATAAGTAAATAAAGGTCACTTGCTCTCAGTGTTTCACCCCCCATAGCCACAACCTCATCTGGGCTCAGTTGATGTAATAATATCATGCAACAGATGAGGAGCAGTCCATCTGAGAACAGTCAGCTCTTCTGCCTCAATACACCATTCCTATACTTATTCCTCCACAATAAAACAGCTAATGAGAACCTGTATGCTAAAATCACTTTAATAAACACTAAATACCTGTGGGTTCAGCAAATGTCTTTCCTAGGTCAGAACAAATTTGCCTGACCATGGAAAAATGTAATTTGTCCATTTACAATTCTAAATTTCAATGTCACAGAACAACTTTAAAGTAGTACATGCATAAGTATAAATAACACTGGAGAGACCATACAATGACTAGAAACCCTCCGCTGGTGCAGGCATTTCTGCTACAGACTTTCCTGTCTAACATGCATGAAACTGGATGTCATACATGTTCCACAAGCAGCATACTTTGTTCTCCTGGGGGACACTACAATGCTTTCCCAAACCACTATCCCATTTTTCATTTAAATGTCTCATAAAATTACTTCTTCCATGATGAAAAGAATTGGTGCTTATTCAAATCACTTACAGAAGAATGAAAAAACAGCAATCTATTTCATTTAAGGAAAACAAACAAAAAGCAATGCTGTCAAGGTGCAGAAATGCCCTCACATGATTAACACTGACATCTCTGAGCTTCCCCTTCTCAAAACCTCTGTGTTTTGTCACTGTTTCTAATACTGCCGGTTTTAAAATTTAGATTGTGAGCTTTGAGGCAGGGATGAACACGAAAAGTGAAACTCTCTTTCCTGGTAATCACTGCTCTAATAAAAGTTTCATTTTGATCCAAATCACCTTTTCTTTGTTCAGACCAAGACACAGGGTGATTAAAATGAAAAGCCTTCAGCACTGCTGTCACATTCTTCTCAAGAGAAGGTTGGCAGCAGTCAGCGTAAGGCTGTGATAAAATCCTGAAGATCTCCAGGCATTTTTACTGCCTGAAATTGCTTTTCCTAGTCTCCTGTCAGTGCAGCTGAAAGCACTAAAGTTCTTTATATTCATCCTACCTTTCACAGTACTTGGACAAAGGAAAAGTCCACAGAAATTATGGATGTAAAAGTGAGGTGGGATTAGTATTTTCTTAAGGCTGTGCTGGGGCACAGAGCCATTACAGCTTCTTCCCCATTCATATACTGTTCCTTTAGCACTTAAAGCTGATGGACCTCACAGGACTTTCTTAATATTAGATCAAGAAAGAAGTCATTACACATCAGAATGACTAGAAAAACCTGTAAGGAGGAATCTACTCTTTAATATTCTTGTAAATTGGTTTCACCCCACTAATCTACAGTAATGCCATAGACTTCTGTCTATACTTAATGACTGCAGAGATCCATGTATAAATTCAGTAGATGCTTTTAAAAAAAAATTAAACATGTCTATGTTAAATGGAAGCAGAGAGGAAGAATACCAGATTTTCCTTGAACTTCTTATCTGCTTTAGGAAAAATCATGTAGTCTTTGGAAAATACTGTCTTTAAGAAATATTTCAGGCAGTGCGGCAAGTGACAGGAAAACACTACCTCAGCAATGCTTCCATTTCTGGAAAGGCCTAAAAATTATTCAGCATCTAGTTAAGAAAGTAATGTTTGGGTTTGATAAATAAAATATTTTAATTAAAAAAACCCAACCTAATTCAGTTCTTCCATAGAATGGTGCACCAATCCATACCTAATTCAGTTCTTCAGTAGAATGATGCACCAATCCATCCCTGAAACAGCCTAAAGAGAGACAAAGGTAAAAGGGGGCAGGGGTGAAGTCAAAAGCTTAATCTTATCCTTTTGGTGACACTGACAATAAAACTGAAAGATCTGCAAATTAGCTGATCCTGGAGGATGGCTGGGGAGGCCACTGCCACCTTCACTGACATTCTTCCCCCACAGCAATGTTGGCCTCATCAACCTCTGGCACTGCTCCCTGGCAGTCAGCTCCAGGACCATCATGTTGCTAGGCATGCTGCAACTGAGGACTGTTAAAGGGATATTTCCACCAAGAGCAGCAGCTTGAATTGAGATACAGATCCTCAGCATTCAAACACCAACACCTGAATAAAGATATTAAAAAAAACCACAATATATTTGTTTGGCTACAACAGTAATATGGAAAGATAAAATACTTTCATGTCGAGAACCAACTGTGAGAGAGTATTTAGTCTGATGCATTTCCCATCAAGTCAATATCCTATTACTGCTATCTTTTGTTTATAAACTTAATTTTTCATATGCAAGATGAAACAGCTAATTAAATAACTAATCATTACACTGATACACTTTTCTCAATAGTCAATTTCTAATACTGACTGATTAGTTATTTTACCCCCCAAAATTATACCTTGTTAGTTTTGCTGAGTGCGAAAACTTCAGTGTGCTTATGGATATACAGATGTCAAACACAAATGAATTAAAAATAATAGTAAAAAGAACGTAAATGCTAATTTTAATAGGTCTTCATAAACTGTATCTATGAAAGCAAAACACTCCAAAACTTTTCAGTAGAGGAAGCACAAAGGTTCTGCACAAAACTAAACCCAGCATGATACCTTACACTTTACCAAGAACAATTATATAATGGATTCTTAAGCAGAAACGACAGGAAGGGGGAAGAACAGCTTACTATAAAACAATAAGTAAACTTTTAAAAGACAGCATTGTGCTTTTCATGATTACAGTTTTATTTCCCTTTAAAGAACAGTATTTTAAGGAGAAATTCATTTAGCCATTCCAGAATATAAGGAAGCACATAGAATTTGGTTAAGATTACTTTTCTGGTAGCACTTTTGCTGCCATCACACTTTTTTTTTTTTTTTTGACTTTTCCTTAGGGTGAGGACATGAAGTTCCAAGGAGGGTAAGGCAACTGACCTTGACATAGCTTCTGCTACACTACAAGTGGAAGTATTCAAGAGAAATGTAACAGCACAACATAATCTACCTGCACAAAGGAGCTTTATACATATATCTAGATCAACAGATATAGATAAATATTTGTCTGTTTAGCTAGTAGGCACCTTTTTATTTATTTAATTTTATTTTAATTAACCTTTTTATTTAATATTTTGCATATGTTTTCTTCTCACAGCTTTTTTTTTTTAAGCAACTCCCTCAATGTATCCATAAAAAGATACAGTAAAGTACCAGTAAAGAGAGACTTTACTATTACCCATATTATCAACAATGATTTTTTTCATGTCAATTTCTTTAGCTAGTATCTGGTCACCTATTTACTAGGCATCTCACAAATCATATAGATATTCAGGCATACAAAAGTGGGATGTGTACTCCAGATGCCAGCTTTAAAATTCTCATTCTTTAATTAGATTTTCATACAAGAACATGAGACTTCATATAATAACAGAATGAAAATCAAAAGTGACAGACTGGGTGACTGGAATTTCTACCAGACTTTTTTAATCCATAAGTATGTCCAGCCTTGTAATTTTGGAAGAGAATTTAGCACCAGCTGGAATCCTCAGACTGCAGTAGTAGAACAGTAACAAACCTCCCTCAAATAAAACCTTAAATCATGAGTTTGGAACACTTTCAAAAAATGAAACACACTAAATTTTAAAATTCATGGGACTGACGACCAGGTCAAATCCTGTCACCTGGAAAACAGCAAGAAGAAATGCAGTATTTAAATCTGTTGAGGATGTCTGACTTGACAAATTCCAGGAGACAATGAGACTCAGATTTACAAATAACAGGTTAAAATGTGACTTTACAGCAACTGAAATTCAGGGTCCAGATAAGTATATTAGTGTTCTTGTACCAACTACATTAAGTCAATGTTTAACAAACAAATAAAAGGGTGAAGAACCTAGGATCCTATGATCTGTTTCCAGGATATGGGACTCCTATTACATTCTCTCCCTCCTACAGCCTGAGGAAGTTTTCAGTTCCACCTGACAACTCTAGAAGTTCACGGCGATGACAGAAATGTATTGCTAACTCTGCCCTTTAGGGTAAGAAGCTGGTGGGCTGGTGAGTAAACCTTGTGCTGCAGCATCTGAAGTGAACCTCTCTGACCTACCGTGTGCAGGCAAGAAAGCTTCAAGATGCTGTACATCAGCTTCATTTGCTGAGGTTATACAAGCAGGGTTCAACTAAGGCACTACTGATACAAATGAGTTAGCTTGTGTATTTCTACCTATGTGTAGTTACAGTATCATTCTAATAATGCATCTACCACCTCCACACTGTGTTTAATAAAAGGCTAGTTCAACTTCAAGCATGTTCTAGAACTTTTCTTGAATTTCAGGAGGACCCATAAAAACTTGTTATCAGGAATGCCAATAAAAACCAGAAGCAGTAGTAAGTGGACAGCTCTGGAGTACAGATAGAAAATTACTTTGTTGGTATGAAACCAGCCCTGTGAGTTGTGAAAGACTGTATGTTTCACTTTTCCTTGCCCAAGTCTTGTACTCTGAGGACCTCCTAAGCAGGAAACAATGACAAAATAATGACAAAACATAAAGACCCCAGGTCACGTTTGTAAGAAGAGACGAGGTTACACAACCTTATATAGCAGCAGTAAACCAAAAAGAGCCTTCCAAAATAAACAGCAGCTTTTCAGAAGAAGGCAGCAGACACATTCCTGTAGACATGGAGCATTACGAGATAACGTGTAAAGAATGCTACTAATTTTTCCATAGTATCTATCAAGGCTAATTGTCAGCAACATCTCAGCTCAGCCAGAAGAATGTTGCAAGTTGCATTTAAATCTGCTTTAAAGACTGTGCAATTCTAGAAACCAGTATTATAAATGTTTAAGATGGCAAGCAAGCAGCTTTGAGGTTTGGGTTTTAATTGTTCACTCTTGAGTCCTAACCCAAAAGAACTTTCACAAAGAACAGAGCACAACATCAGGGAACTAATGCCAGGGCTGGTTTTGATACACATAATACTACTTTATTCCATTGTTTCAACTTTCTTACAGCTTTAAAAAATGTACAGGGGTTCAGAACCACCTCAACAGAACAAAGGACACATAATTAAGGGAGACCTAGAGTCAAACCACAAGCAGGCGTGCAACCGTGGTTAGCTTCCATTACAAAAAGTAATAGGCACAATCTTTACATATGCATTTTGGTGAAAGAAGGAATAATAGTGCAGTGTTAAAAAGCACCAATAATCAATAATTGGGCCTTTTCTAAATGCCAATAACCATCTAAGAAAATTTACATTTGGTTCAAAATAATAATTTTCATATTTTATTGATTGACATGCATCTGAACCCCTGACAGTTTATTACACAAACCTATTCTGCACCCCTGCAAAATAAAAAAAGATTTCATCAGTGGACCTGAAAATCAGTTCAGTACAAAAGGAAATACTGAAGCTTTTTTGCCTGTATTTAATACTAAACTGCCTAGTTCACCTCCTCCAAGAACACTTGTCTAAGAAACAGCTATTCAACGACTGCATGGAAGTTATTTCTCTGAAAGTAATTTTTTAATCCTGTAGCATTGACCTATTCCATGTGCTACGAAAACATTAGGCACAGACCACAGTTTATGTTTTCTCTTAAAAAATAGTATGTGCAAGCTAGGTTCACACAACAGACTTGACAGCTACAACAGTAAGCTATTTAAACTTCCCGAAGAAGAGAGTTTTAATTTTCTAAGCAGTGAAGCACACTGCTGTGCACAATTATCATATCTGCATTAGGATTATTTCTGTAGCCAGTAAAGGAAACGCTTTAGTACACCCTAAAGGACACTACATCGATACTGTGAACTAATTTAACAGGATCAAGAGAATGAAAGACTGAAGTCGTTGTACATGGGCAGCTGCAATTACTCAGCCAGCCATGAAAGGCTATGGCCTTTTGCAGGAGGAATGGTTTGAAACTCAGTTTACCTCATGCCCTCAAACTAAACCACTAGGAAGTGATGGAATCTAGGGATGAACAGCATGGAAAAAAAGGGGAAATGAGAGGGAGAGCTTCTGTGAAAGTTGTACCAAAATGTGCCATTTTATCCTAAAGCGTCGTGCCCAGTACAGGTTTTATGACTGCAGACTGTTTGTACAACTGAAAATTCTACAAGATGTAAGCAGAGATAGAGCTGATTATTAATCTGCAGTATCTACTATAGTCCTCAGGTATATTATTTACGGATAGCCACTTACTGTTGTTGATTTTTTCCTCTTAAATATATTTAAATTCAGAAGGCTACAGTATATTCTGACACAAAGACAGTAAGACAACTTTTCTACAAGGGGAAAAATATAAGGTAGTGCCTAACTTATTTTATGAGGAATCTCCTCTGATGTGGTAGTTATTTCATGCCCTTTGGAAGATTTTTATTTCTGACTTTCTTCATCATCTCTGTCGAATTGATGCCCTCACAATTTCACAAGAACTATATTCGAGTTTAGAGACCCCTCTTACAGCAGCCTTTTCCTTTTCCACAATTACTTCCAAACTCATTCTAGCATCACAGCAAGCTATTCAAGTAAACATTCATCTTCTGGCAAATTTCCAGATACAGCAAATACTATCAAAACTCTGCATTTGATCATGTGTCAGTTTTCTTTAAATGGAACAGGAATTAGCCCGTTTTCTTGGTTTAGGGTCCCGTACATCCCTGTCTTTTAAACACATACAAGATGAACATATTGTCTCTGATAGTCTCCGCAGTCCCAGCCTGAAAACGCTGTTGGAGAGGCTATATATCACACAGTTGCAGAAACTATTGCTTATAGCAAGCCATGTTGTTAAGAAGGAAAGTGCTGGGTTTTCGAACACCCTAGAGCTCTCAAGCAGAAAGTATATGATGTAAGGGAGCCACAGCACGTAGAACACACTGGTTATCCGAAACAAAACCATGGCATAGCGGCGATCGGGGCTGTGCCCAGTCTCCCCAGCAGCATCCACTTCATGGCTGGGAAATCGAGCTCTCCGATCGTTTATCTCTTTGGTGTGCTGCCGGCAAATTTTAAAGATGTGGAAATATGTGAAACATATGACAAAGGCAGCAGGAGCGTACAGTAAGCACACGATAAAGCCAGTAAAATAGGCATTAGTTAGCCAGGAGGTAGCACACCATTCAAAAATATCTCCATGGTAACCAGGTTTTCCCCAACCAAAAAAGGAAGGCAAGAAGATCAGACAAGAGTATATCCAGATCAAGACGATGCAGATTCTCAAGCGACAAGGTGTGACCAGTTGATTATAGGAGAGAGGCTTTGTTATAGCGAGATAGCGATCCACACTGATGCAAGCAAGACATGCCATAGATACGCTTTTTAGCACAGAGATGATATATCCAAAAACTTGACAAGTCAAGGACTCGTGGACACCTGTCGAGTAGTGGAGCAGTGACAAAGTAGGAACCAAGCAGCTAACTCCAACAAAGAGATCAGCATAGGCCATGGTCTGAATAAAATAGCTGGTGGTATAATGATGCAGAAGTGGAGCACAGTGAAAAACAAATATCACAGTTAAGTTACCCGCAATAATTAAAAATGTTAGCAAGACAATAACAACTGTCTCAAGGATACAGATGTCAACTGCATTGTAGTGACCAAATCCAAGAGGGCAGGAGAGATGCTCAGATATGTTCATAATACTACTGCTCATATTCAGAGTCCTCCATTCAATCCATCGGGACTGGTTCATGTTTTGTGACTGGGGAACACTGCAATCTGAGCCTTAATGAGCAGATGACCTGCTTAACAGCAGCTAAACTCTGCTTCAGCTTCTCAGGATCTCTCTTTGTAGACACTGCCAGTGCTTACATTTGAGAGGATTACAGTCCCATAGCTGTTGATGCCTCCTCAGCATCAGCGCATCACCTCTGGCACACCTTAGCTTTAAGGAAAGAAAAAAAAGAAAGAAAAAGAAAGGGAAAAAAGCCAAACCAAAACAAACAAACAAACAAACAAAAAAAAAAACCAAAACAAAACCCAAAAAAAAAAAAGCCAGAAAGAGAAAGGCCACTGATCAGCTCTTCCAGTGCTCTTGACCAATTTTTAGCAAACACAAGGCACTTCTAAAACAAACAGGTACTCTGAAATATGGAAATAAAAACTGACAAAAGAGATACATTCATTTCCTGGGGAAGGAGTGGGGTAATCTCTGACTGCCTATTTTCCTGAGAAAGTCATTTACTTTGGAATATAATGGGGTGAGGGAGAGAAAGGGAAGGAGGAACCTCAGTAGAGCTCCAGTTTCCTGGACCAGCAGTTACTGAACATAATCTTTTCTATGTCTCAATTTAAATCGCAGACTTACTGGAGAATAAAGAAAAAAGTTCATTCTCTAACACTGTCTTTTCTGTCTCCGTTCAGGAGATGGTACTCCATCTTATCCACAGCATTCATTGGAAAGATAAGGAAAACATTTTTGGCAAGGTTAATTCCAATAGACTCACTACTGTTTCGGTATGTATAATGAATTTTATTTGGAGAGAGATGGGTGGGGGACAAGGCAGATTTGTCCTCGGACTCCCAGGAAAGAAAACATACATCTTACATACAATGAGGAAGATTGTGTTCTAGTCATTTAAAAATTAAAATAATTTAAGAATAGAATTTAGAGACTTATGTCAATATTCACAATTCCTTCAAACAGTTTTAGTCCATTACTATTATTAATGCCAGAAGCATAATGCAAGGTCCCCACAGACAAAATAAATCCTCTTGAATTTAATTTCAGAAATGGTAATTTAAAATACTCGTCTTCAGAAACTCTGCCATATCTGCTACCGTGGATCAGTACCCAGGAGTTCATAGGTGTATCCCCGATATTGCTCACCTCTGTAGCAACACCTGAATCATTTCACAAACCCCCATACAATGAGAACAGAAACTTCCATCTGCATTCTGCTGTGAAGCTAATGAAATGCTGATTTGACTAGAAAAGCTGCCATTGTTTACTGCTCCATTATTCTGTTATTCAGCTTCATCTTCTTAGGGCTTTAAGGTTTCTATATTTATTAGATGATCAGCATAATAAATACTTGCTTAAAAAGTTCTTCTAATTGCAGGACATTACCTTGTTCATTTTATTCGCAATTATGGAAAAAGTAAACATTAAAAGAAAGCATCTTCTTCCTGTGTTCAGCTTTAAGTAAATGCTGGATTAGTTCAGGAATCATTAGGCAGGTAATTAACTGTATACAATCTTGTAGTTGGAAAGGCCCCTAAAATGTTAAAGCCATTTTTAATCCTAGAGTTCCTGAGACTAGAAGACTGGCAGTGAAAATTAATGAATCCACATAAAATGTTCTCCAAGGTCATTCAGCTATTACGCTGGCATTTGCTTTAAGTCTCTTTAAAAGTACCAGAATCTCTCTGATGTTTTTGATAGTCCTTGCCGTGTCTTCAGGAGGAATTTCAGATACTAGAAGAGAAAAAATTTCAATTCTGTTGCAGCAGTTTGAGAGAAAGTATTCCTTTTGGAGTTAATTTCCTGTCGTGCACCGCCTCACTGTACAGAAAGTCCTTCTGATTTTATAACATCCCAGAATATTTCCGGCTATTCATTCCCTTTGTCTAAAAGCAACAGAGCATACATAAAATTACTACTTTCTCTATTTTTCTCTTAAAGCAATATAGCAATCTTTCTCACCTACACGCATCCTTATCAGCCGCTATGATGAACTGCTTGACAGGGGAGTCCTAGTTACTGTGCTGCGGCTAGAGCTTCTGCCGCTAGTTCTCTCCTTCCCCTTTGAAATGATTGCTTGCACCTGAGTCCGCTCCTCCTCTTCTCCCCCCCTAAGCCGATGCAGCCGAGCCGGGCGCTGGAAAGGTGACTGCCTCCGGCCCCCCCGCCGCGCAGCCAATGGCCGCGCCGCGCCGCTGTCACTAGGTAACGGCGGCCGGGCCGGGCCGGGCCGGGCCGGCGGCGCCCCCCGCAGCGCAGCGGGGGAACGGCACTGCACGGCGCGGGTACCGCCAAGCCCGGCCCCGGCCGGCAGCCGCGGGGCTTGCTCCGAGTGCCCGGCGCTCCTCCGGCGGGAGAAGGCTGCAGCACGGCCGCGGGGACCGCCGGCGAGAAGCCGGTGCTCGTCCCGCCAACCCCCGCAGAGCCGGCAGTCAGGTGCCTTCGGGACGTGTGCGCGGTGCCAGTTCCCATCTCTGGCGGTCTGCTCCTACACAGTGCTGAGCGCCAGGTCAGCGCGGGGAACCGCACCGAAAGCTAGTAATTCAACAACGTTCCAAGTCCACAGGATATATATTCCAAACGCAAGCGTTTAAGTCAGGCCCACCCAACTCGTCTTTTATAGAGATAGACAGACAGATAGAAATATTTAACTTTAGAAACCCCCAGCATCGCCTAAGTAAAAACGTTTAGTAGAAGTTATTCTCAGATGACCAATTTCACATGCACCTTTTGTACATTGCCTGCAAATGTTTAGCCTGAAATATTTGCCGTGGTTCAACACAAACTTCCTTCTCTTCCTTAAAAGACAAAAATTACCATCCCCTAAAAATCAGTTATTTTCATATTTAAGGCAGATTTATTTTAAAGCTCATCTGCAACTCGTTTCAATACAGCTTTTTAATTGATTCAACCGAATGCAAAAAATCAGCTTAAATACAAATACTTCCGAGTAACATACTATTTCTCAAAACACAGACTTTTAAACCCAATTAACTGATCTCTCTATTCATGCAAATGGATGCTGTTATTCCCTGATTAAGGACTTGGAACTTTTGTTTACTTCATGCTTCCTAAAAATAAAACCAGTAACAGAAGTACAACTACCAAAGTTATCGTACATAGAAAGTCCATACATCCTTAGACACAGACAGAATCAAATTTAAATACCAAAACATCAACCATTAAACAGTATTTTGGGCTATAGATCAGGAAAAGATGTTTTAAGAATGGTATCGGAAGCTTTAGCAAACTAAGTCATTAGAAACCACACTGATTTAAATTCTTTTTGTTCCAAGGCACACCAACAGGCAAAATTTAGTAAGCTGCTCCTGGGTTAACACCTTGTATCTCGAGTATAGCCTGGAGCAAATATTCAAGGCTGTGTGACAAGTCTGTGAAAATGTGAAGCAGCACAAAGTGCAGCAGTGTAAGAGTGGTTCGTAATAACAGCATGTGATAATTCCAGATTCTTCTATTGAAGGATTTAAGAAAAAATTAAAATCATTCCAATACCTCACAACTGTAAATGGCTGCGATATCAGATTTAATGACTAAATTTAGCCCCTGCGTACAGCTTTAAGCCAAAGCCATTCATACCATGGGGGGAACAATAGGAAGCAGTTTTTATTCCTCTTTCCCACTCCTCTTGTGGGGGTGAAGCAGAACAAACAACGGTGTGCACAGGCATGGCAGCAACTAGCACTTCTCCATCTCCTCCATGGGTCCGTTCATGCTTGGCACCAGAGCCATAAAGGGCCAAAACATATTAAAATAGATGTCGGAAAGCCTCAAAGACAAAAGGGCATGCAAGATAAGCAAAGGTAAAGCCTACAATTCAGTGGAACACACAAACTATCTGCTCAGTGCATCCTCTTCGATACAAATTTGTATACTGTTAACTAATAAAGCTTCCAAATGTAACAGTACCCATAGAGTCACCTTACTCTCAGGTGAGACCCAGCTGAGGTATAAAACCACAGTGCCTATCCCTGTGTGCACAGAGTACTGAGCTCAGACAGCAAGCACTCAGATCAGTCAAACATTTCAGGTCATGTATAAGAAATCTGGATACTGCTGAGCAGGTAAGAGGTAACAAGCATCAATGGCAACCTCTGCTGGCTGGTTTTCAATGCAGTTAAAATACTTCCCTTTCATAAATTATAATTAAAGGGACAAAGTGATTCAAAAGTAAGGGAGTTAGATTGATTTCTTTGTGAAAATACAAGCAGGCTTCCTCCACCAGCAAAAGCCAAAAAACCAAAGAAAAAAACAAACAAAAACAAAACAAAACAAAACAAACAAACAAAAAAAGCAAAACAAAAAGCCCAGTGGCTTTATCACCTCAGCTCCTCTGGGACCCTGGCTCCCTGTGACAATTCCTAAGCAGCCGCAGCGCAAACTGCAACAGACTGACTGCACTCACTCGTACTGTATTTGACGTATAGTTGGAGGCAAGTGAAAATTAAAGCAGAAATCAGCTAGTCCTGGCAAAACTATGCAGTTACAGACAGAATTCTACCAGATGTGACAATACTGGATTTTGTATCAGAGGCAACACATAAAAAAAAGCTATATAAGAAAAGTTTTCTACCTGTAGATTAGGGACACTTTAGGGACCCTGGCCCAGTTTTAAACAAAATGTGCGTCAGGGTTTTTTTTGTTTGTTTTGTTTTTAACTTGCATATAAAGACAAGGAAGTGAGAAAGACAAAACAGTTATACTGGAAGAATTTAATGGCTGTCACCAAGGCAGTATTTTACATGGTGCACAAATTCCATAGCTGGTTATGTCCAGCCAAAGGACTGAGCACTCTTCAAGCTGACTAGAAGGAGCAATTCCACACCTTCTTTATAAATTACATCAGCCAGAAACAACAGAAGTTACCATCCAAAACAGAAGACTCACAGCATCTGATCCTGCTGAAAACAGAGATCTGGTAGGAGCCTGAGCTTTGCATATGAAAAAAAAAAAAAAAAGCAAGCAAGCCTGTGAAAACAGTGGCTATGGTGTATGACCCTGTAAAGAAATAAGATAAAGCTTCTCAGACAGAAAAAAAACACATACAGAAGTAGACTTAGAAGCTTCAAGCAAGAAAACAACCCATTACTCATTTTTTTTCTATTCAGAAAAGAATAGGAATATTTGTTTCCTAAATCTTTGTTTGTAAGGCAACAGGACTGATGAGAAGCAATTCCCACAATGCACAAAAACGCATCTAAGTTGCACCACTCATTCCTAGTTCAAAGTCTTTCAGGACTCTCTTTGTTAAAGTACTGGGTGGATTAACTGGATAACAATAGTTTCTGTAAAATCTTTTTAAAAGACACTGATTAGAGCCAGGAGATGTAACTGAGTATGGGATGAGAAAAATAACAGTTATTTACTTAGATGCAGACCTGCATGACTGTTGATACACATACCAGGTCTTTGTCTTTTCTTCTGCCCAACTCCCCCCCCCCCCCCCCCCCCCCCCCCTTTTTTTTTTCTTCAAGTATTATTTCTTTTTATCCACTTTCTTCTTAGCCTATAGAACTTCAGGTTGCTCTATCTTTACCTCTGGCATTACTTGTCCACCACATCATATGGACACCCTGGACTGTTTTTTATACCTCCAGAAAAATTCTATTCCATGAAGCCTGCAGCTTGTAGTGCAGCTTAAAAAGGGAGAGGAGTTAGAAAAAAAAAAACAGTAGTTCCCTTAAAAATCATGTGTGTGTGTGTACATGGTTGGTTTTTTACATCAGACTAGTGTTTGAAGTTGCTCTCTGAAGACATGCCGATGCTGTATTTAAGGCAGAAATAAGTTTTGTTATTTTGAATATACAGACTCTTCCTGAAATCCACCCAATCCAGCTGCCTATTTAAAAAACTACCATGAAGAGCTGTAGCTTTCAAAGAATGTGCAGGAACTTTTCACCCGAGTACAGGCACATGGTACACATATATACATATAAAAACATTTTTCCTCAAAACAATCTTTCACTTTTTAAATACTTTACACTGGAAGGCACCTCTAGGTATCATTTGTCCCAATGGCCTGCAGGATAAGTTCAAAGTCAGGTCCAACACCAAGTTTATGCCAAGCTGCACTGGGTCGTATATCCAGCTGAGTTGCAAACATCTCCAAGAATGAAGTTTTCACAGCTTGTATGGGCCCCAACTTTAACCACTCTCAGTGTGATTCCCAGTACCAGCTCAGAAGTTTTCTTGCTGCAGTTTGCCTTCATCCTCATCAAGACTAAACACACTTGGGCCAGTGGTTAAATACCCAAAGTGTTAGTTCTCAAAGAAACATTATCCTGCAGAAAGTTTAAACCCACGAAATATTTATGTATTTAATAAATATTAAACAAGTTTGAGTGAAGTGCTACAGTCTCCCTTTAAGCATTAGCACCTATGATCTTGTGTATTAGATGCCTTCCTAGACTTTACAATAAAGAACATTTTTCTTCAGAAGGAGCTTCCCTTAAGTTTATAATGATGCTACTGTGACTAACAGAATTCACTTTACAAGCTCATTTTCAAGCAACAAATACCACCTAACTTCTGTACCTGAGATCAACAGCGATAAAACACCACGCAATAAGCTGTCTATCAAGTAGTAGATTTACTTCAGGGAAATGCTGTGAAGTCTAATGAATAGTGATAATTTTTCACGAATTAAACCTAGAATTTGCTTTAAGCAAACAGCACTTAAGCTACAGAAGGAATGCAATTTACTAACTGACTACACATGACAAGAAAAGCTCTAAAATGAATTGAAATGGACGCTGGAAAAAGTATCTTAGGATGGTATGAAAAGCAAAAACATTAAACTCATGCCCTTGGTTTCATGCATCTGGAAAACTAATTCACCTGCTATTAAACCAGCAGAACTAGCACCAGTTAAAAAAAGAAAAAAAAACAAGGATACTGGCAAAAGACTACAGGCTTACTACCTACTACAGCTCCAGGCACCCCAGTGGAAGGCCCTGTTACTTGCATCGCTTTCCCTTCAGCTCCTGCTTTTCATTAGGTGACTCATGTTTAGTTTGAAGTTTGTGAAAGTTTACTGACAGGCTAAAAGAACATGCATTTTGTTCAAAATTGCCCCTCTGCATGTCAAGTACCATAACAAACCCATGTTCTTTCTGTTCATGCAGCTGTCCTAACATAAAACACAGCCTCCATGCGTGGAAGTACACTGGTGAACAAAAATGAACTATCTGTTACTTACACTGCTTTCAAGAGACTATTAAAATTTTCACCTGTTAAATCACAGGACAAAAGGTAGCAATGAAGCGAACTGTAAATGAGGAAATACAGAAATGTACAGAACAGTGAACAGTGGAGGTAGTATTACCCTTTCCTTTTCCAGCAGGAATTATTTCTAGTATTTTAAAATAATATTTAAAAGATTATTGTAATACTGCAATCATTTAAACTTTTTAGGGGCATGTTTTGATATAATTGTGGTTTTACTAATACTTTTGTCTATGTCAATCCAGGAATTACATTCCACAGATATTGGTATTCTGAAAGCATATCACAGCTGGGCACCAAAGTGTATGCTCGAAAGGATTCCAGCTGACTTGGCAGAAGCATAAGCTCAGTCAGTATTAGCAGTAATTCCATTTCAGCAGAGCTAGAATAAGAGACTTTAAGGCTATTAAAGGAAAAAAAAAAATCCCAAATACTGTGATCACCTACTTTGATTTTTTACATACTGAGAGCCAAAGAGTTCTCTTAAACTACAGCCTGACCTTTTAAAATGCAACCAATTTTGATATAATGAGTTCAAATGATGAATAATTTATTGTAGCCTTGATAAGGAAGCCAACTTCTACGGCCCCTTCAAAAAGCAACTACTAAGACATGAACACAAGGATCAAAACCACATACCTCTGTCAGTCTTTCAAAATAACAAATTTGGATATACCAAAGAACAAAGTTGAAGTGCATGCAGATGTAACTTTCATTCTTCATTGCCTTTTAAATACAGAAACAGTTGCACCCAGTATTATTTATTTAAATCCTCCCAAGAGCATCACCCAAATCATTCCTCAGAACTCAGCTCCAAGGCCACATACCCATGAACTACTGTATGATCAACACTGCATGCTCTTCCATACCCCTCTTCATCTCAGTACCTTACTTCTGAAATCACAACAGCAAACCTGTATGACAAAACCTCCCTACTATAACCTTTGGTAACTCACTTTTAAGCTGTGCTGAAAGCTACAAGACAGAAAGCATCTGTGTGTATAATTCACCATCTTCCCAGAAATCATTTTAAACCTTCAGAATTATTCACTTCAGTCTAATTCTCTTTTCTACATATAGTGAGCTGGCAGCTACCACTGTGTGACAAATTCATGGACTCATGTCTGAAACAGACTCAAATCCACATTTCATGGATGCATCTTAGATTAAATGGTCACAGAACATTCTCCCAGAACATCTAGTCTAATCTAGACAGGCTGGCTGGCAACACGTGCTTAGTCACATGGACGATTTCTTTTTTATTTGCACGTATAATCGGCGCATTCCACCCTAAACTTTTCCTTTAATAGATGTTTAAAAATAGTGCTTCCTCAAGGAGACAAGAGGTGGCTCAGAAAAACACTGAACAACTAGATCACTAAGGAAAAACAGTCACAGCTCCAACTGCTGGCATAGACAAAAGATCAGTTAAGAACTAAAGATTCTTTATTTGTTTTAGTGCCAGATCTACCCAGGTGCAGGAGGTACTGACCCCAAATTTAGACTAGTAAACCAAATCCACTATTGCTTGATGACAACAAAGATGAAAACAACTGGAATTGTAAATTTTAGAAGACTATTTTTAAACAAAGTGTTACTCAGTATTACTCTTCTACCACTTTTGTGAAGTAATGGAAAAGAGGAACATGGAAAGGAAATGGCATGAAAATTATTTATAAACTGAAGCATGGCACAATTTCTTTTTATGGATTTTAAGCTCAGCTTCATTTAGACCAAATTCTCCTCCCAGCTGGAACTGCTGAAGAGGTATCACTTACATTATCTTACAGCATGGAGTCTACATCAGCACACAGTTGCATCAATAAGCATCTTTGAGAAAGGACCAGGAATAGCTTCTGACCAAGAGTAGTCTAGAGGGAACATTTTGTAAATCTTTTGCAACTGTTCATTTGCAGATGAAGTAGACTCCTGGCTAACTCACCAGCATGGAACCTGGCAATGACAGATGTTTATAAAATGCCACTGAAAGCAAGAATT